ACAGAGTAGAATTCTGTCAGGGATCGGAGGGGCTGGGGTGTGACATTTAATTGTACCTTTTAATTCATTAGTCAAGAAAATGTAAAGCTACACAATCCCCATGTACTCAACCACGGTTTAAAGGTAATTTTTGTTACTTTTAAAACTTGCCTAAACCCAGTAGAAATACAAAACCACTGGAGCCCAGAAGGCCCATGTGAGATGCTGTGTGAGACCTGACCTCATGGCCTGTGGCTGTGCTCTTGCGTGGACCCGAGACTACAGACCATGGCTGTGGGTTGCCCATGCAGTACAAGGTGGTAGGATTGTTCCTCGTTCCTGAAGCCTCTGCTAGAGGGAGGGTCTATGCTCTTGGTCTGTGTATGATGTGGTGGTGACAGGCTTTGTAGCTGTGGCACTTGCATGGTTGTTCCCATTCCTTTTCAGTTTTTTGGATCTCCCTGGTTGTGTTTCCTATGAGCTGTGGATTCAGTTTGTTCCAAGGTGGTAGGGGAGCTTTGGCTATTGTAATTAGCTTCCAGTAGTATTTATAAACAGCTTAAGTATTGAAATGGCTTATGGTGTGCCTAAGCAACCTATGACCACACCCACTTCACCGTGTTTATGTGGGTCAGCAGTTTCATCTGGGATTATCTAGGTGTTCCTGGTCCCCTGGAATCATTCCTATTTACCCCAAGGTTGTGATCTGGTAACCTGGGTTGGGTTGGGCTCATGGTCCAGGAGACTGACCTGAGCACCTCCACTAATGGCCAAAGGCCACAGCAGGCTGCAAGGTCTCTGAAGGCAATCCTGGAAGTTATAAATGCCATTGCTACCCAGACAGCCATCCCAGGTCCTGGGCCAGGGGTCAGCTCACATCTGAGAAGCAGCAGTGTGGACTGACTCATAGCATGCTCAGAGAGGTTCTCTGCAGCCTCCCTCTCTGAAAGACTCTTACCCCTCAGCCAGGCAGTGTGTGTGTGATCCCTGGAAAGACAGAGCTCTGACAGATAGGGCATTCTAGGAGGTGGTCCCTAGGGAATCAGGGCAAAGGGACCAAGAATGATGGAGAGACTCCGGGAATGGGAGGATGGAGACTGACTGTGACCAGGAAGTTGGCAATCAGTTCAGAAGCAACAGCCTTCCCCACTTTGTAAGCCCTTGGTCTCTAAGAACTGTCACATTCTGAGGTCCTAGGGGTTTACCACTGGGGACTACACAATGCATTTCTAGTGAGAAGGAATCCGGGCAGAGGATTAGGGAAGGCCTTCCTTGTGTGTGGTGGACTGACTGGTTCATTGTCCTGCTGATGCCCTGAGCCCCAGATATCTCAGGCAAATACCAAGGGCTCCTTTAGGTCACAATTAACTATGGAAGGGTCCATCTTCTCAGTGACTGGTATATATGGAAAGAGGGGGCCCCACTCTCCTCCCAGGCACATCCTTTGGGGGGCAGCATCCCTGTAGTTTCTGTTTTCCAGCTGTGGTGACATTTGCAGGTTTGAGTAAGATCCCTACAAGCATAGAGTGATGCTGGTGCCACCTAGAGTGTTTGGTGTGGCTAACCCTGTAATCAGCACAGGTTTGCTGAGCTACTGGCTCCCTCCTCCCCAGTTGGCAAGCAGTACACCTGTTCCCTGGAAACCAAGGCTGGCTAGTCTCTGACCTGCCATCATCCTGTGATCCAGGAAGGTCAGAGTTTGGGCTGCCTGTTCAAGTGCCATGGTGAAACCTTGAAAGCAACTGTCTCTCACAGGGACAAGTACTGGCTTTGGGAGCATACCAGACCCATTATTTGACAAGGGTTATGGAAAAACTCAGGAAACCACCCTGTGAGCTGTAGGGACAACTCTGTCTCCCAGCTGTTGGGCATTTGGGCTTTGGAAGCCATGTCTAAGCCTCTAGTGACATCTAATCACATGGGGATCCTAAGTCACACCAGTGCTCAGAGGTCCTAATAGGTGCCAGACGCCAGGGCAGGAATCATGAAATTGAGAGGGGTGTGGGAGAAAGAGGTTGTGAGTCTGACAGTGCCGTCCTACTGCAGGGTGACACATCTCATGGTCAGGGTTAGTCCACTCTCAGGCAGCCCCTGTAGGGATTATGGTAGTTAGCTGACACCATGCTCTTATGCCAAGGATGTCTGGTGACATCACTTTGCTAGTGGTAGAGCGTTAGGTGTCCCCTGTGAGTGAGCTGCCTATCAGCCCTGTGGGTTTTTTTTTTTTTTTTTTTTGCTAAAAATGTTGAATCTAAAGTGACCATGAGGAGGCAGTCCCTTCAGATGGCTGAGGTGTAGGCCTCAGAGCTCTCAGGATCAAGATCATGGTGAAAAACAAAGATATAACCTGAGAAGTGCTGTGAGGTTCCCCCAGGGTGCAGAGGGCTAGCCTGTGCTGCTGCTGTCAGAGGGTTCAGGCTCGGGTTGGGATCATGGCCTTGCAAGTGGGTGATACCGGCTCACAGGACAGTTCAAGTGTGGAGTCCTGAGATGCCTCACCTCTGAGCCCGTGTGCCAGAAGTATCAAATGAGACTGAAGTGGTTCACAGTTTGGCTGGGATAGTAGGTCACAGGAATCAATAAAACACTCTCAAGCAGATTTTCAATCCAAAGAGACTCTTGGTGTGCCATATGGTGATAAGATCCTGCATCAAAAACAGTGGAAATACACAGCCAGAGAGCAAGCAGGGCAGTGTCTGCATAGGGAGGCTGTGAAACAGCCACAGGGACGCCAGACCTCTAGGCTGGCCAGTGTCTATGGTTGCATTTAGGGGATTAAAAGTTACTTTAAAAAAAGCCGCATTTTATAGCAGGCCAGATTCTGTACACACTGCATATTTAAACTTGGGTTTGAAATGTAGGTGTCAACTTGAAGTCATCTGAGGACACATAACTTTTTAAAACTTGGTTTGCGCTGGGCACGGTGGTGCATGCTTTCATGCATCCACTGGAGGTGGATCTCTGTGTGTTCTAGGCTAGCTAGGGCTACATAGGGAGACCCTGCCTTAAAAACACACAAGAAAACTTGTTTGGAAGGCACGTGGGCCAATACCCTGGCCATAGAATCAGGCCCCTCCTCAACTTACCTGCTCTGATGGACAGAAACTTTGCAGTCACAAGCAGAGTAGAGCAAGAGCTGGCGTGAAGGTTGAGTGGTGTTCTTATAGACAGCACTGAAGGCAAAAACACAGTGAGAGAAGAGTGCTTAGAGTGGGGTGTGGCCCCGTGTCTGTCATTGGGGTGTTTAGGGAGGAGACAGTGATGACCGAGGTCAGTGTCTGCACAAGGACATATGTCAGATGACCTGTGGGACACTGTAGTAGATAGACAGTGGTCTCGAGCCTGAGCTGAGCTCCAGGCTAACATTTGGCTATATCCATCTGCCCCTGTCAGGTTTGGTTAGACTCAGGGACATAGACCTTGAAGTTGGACCAGGAACACCAGAGATCAGAAGTGAATGTGGTAGATGGCAGTGTATTGCAGGGGCAGGATACGGAGGGTAGATGTGGGCTCATCTGGAGTTCTACACAAGCTCTCTAGTTCAAGACTTGTTCAGTAGAGCAGGAAGCTACCACTGTGCAACATAGGGATGGTTGCTAGAGCAGGATGCTCAGAGAAAGCCATCCTCATGGCCTGGAGCATGAACAGATGTGGCTCCTTCATTCCTGACAGCTAGATAGACCCAGGCATCGTCAGGCAAAGGGCCGCTGAGGACTTAGCAGTGGATACTGGTGTTGCTGTTGCTTGTGTGCAGGACCAAACTCAGCAGTGTGAGGCCAGGTCATCTGGGCCCAAACCATGCTGTTCTATACCTGGGAAAAGAAGAAAAGCCAAGCTATCAGAGCAGAGATGCAACCAGTCTACATGGCCCATTCTGTGTAGTAATGGTGGCTGCACGGTCATCGAAACTTGTCACCCAAAATCAGTGCATTGTGACTGTATGTAAGACCTCATTGAGGCCCATTATTAAAAATTGTAGTCTGTTCCTGGGGATTGCAGGTGTGGCCTGGGGCCTGGACATCAATTTTGAAAGCCACAAAACCAAAGGGTGAGACAGAGAGACCATAACACAGGCATGAGCACGGGATGGTGAGGGTTGTCTCTTTTCCTGGGGCTGCTGGGTCAGAGCTGTCACAGCTAGGCTAGTGCCAGGTGATGGCTGTGGAGACTCTGTCTTTTCAGATCTTGAGGTTTATGCAGATCCATCTGGAATTGCATAGGAGGGAGCTGTGAGGTTCCTGAGGTATCAGGGCACATGGGCTGAGGGCCCTGCCTGTGAGGGAACTGGCCTGGAGACATGGACATAAAACTAAGCCAGATAGTCAACAATGAAATCTCCTCCTGCTGGCCCCTGTGTGCCCCTGAACAGGCCAGTCAGACGCCCTGTGCTTGATGTCACTCACTTTTTACACACAGTCCTAGCAGCATCTACTCTATGGGATTTCATGACTTAACAAATTGTTTGTCATAGGCCTGGAGCACAGTTAGGCCTGAGATTTGTTCCTGTTGTCACTGTTTTGTTTCTGTTCCTTCATCTACTTCTGATTTAACAAATTACTCCAGAACACAGTGACCTAGCCAAGTTGTTTGGGATGCTCTTGCAGCCACAGTTAAGCTGCCATAGGCTTTGGTCAGCTGGAGATCTGGCTGGAGCCGAGGCTCCCTACACAGCATGAGGTCTAGTTTCTATCACAAAAGTGAGACCTGCTATGTATATGTCCTTAGGGCATGGTAGCTGGCCGTCCTAATAGTCCAGCATCAGCAAACCATTGTGTACACATACACACACGCACAAACACACGAATACATATATGTGTGTGTATATGCGTGGTGGGTGTGTGTGAAGTTTGTGTGAGATGCACATAGGCATGATGTTTGTTCCTCAGCTTTCCAAAGGGAGTCTCTCTCTGAACCAGGAGCAGGGCATCTGTTCCTCAGGGCCCTGAATGAAGACAGTGCTGTCCAGGCACAGCCTATGCCTAGTCCCTGCATCCTCTGACCAGTGCACCCTGTGCTCGCAGGACGGCTGTTCTCAGTGAAGGACCGTGCGCCCGCCCCTGAGCAGCGACCATGGGCCTGCTTGCCTACCTGAAGACCCAGTTCGTGGTGCACCTGCTCATTGGTTTCGTCTTTGTGGTGAGCGGGTTGGTTATCAACTTCACCCAGCTGTGCACACTGGCCCTCTGGCCTATCAGCAAGCAGCTATACCGCCGCATCAACTGCCGCTTGGCCTACTCGCTCTGGAGCCGTAAGTGTCCCCACCATTGCAGGCATTGTGCAAGGGTTCCTCTCCAGGGGGAAAGGAAAGCTTCTCCTGTCAGGGATCCCAAGGGGCAGTAAGGATGAGCCACACCTGACATACCATCCCAGAATAGAGCTAGATGAAGCTCAAGCCTCCCCGAGGTTACGACACCCTCCCAGGTGCCCTGTAAACAGGTGTCCAGAGTAACTTTACTAGTCTCAGCCACATGATGTTTCCATATCAGGCTGTGTGTCTCACAGAAAAGGAGACTTTAGAGGGTATAACAGCACTGCCTGTGCTTTCAAACCAACAAAAGCAAGGAGGAAATCAGTTCGGTGACCTCAGACCCAGCCTCCAGCACACAGTATTGAATGGCCCCTGCCTAGTCACATCACAGTGCACAGAGAAAAACATGGATGCTCCTTAGTCACATGTGTGTGGGTGCTGCCTGTCTGTCAGAATGTACTAGTGCATGAAAGTACATTCATTTGAGAAAGCTGGACAGCCACTAACTCCCACCCTGTGCACCATGGGAGTGGCACTGACCTGGATGTGGGATGTGCCTGCCTGCAGTTTACATGATGCCAGGCTGAGTCAGTTGCTCCACAGAGTAAGAATGCAGCCTTGTGAGTCCTGCAGATAACCATTCCCCACAGGCATCCCCATCTTGTCTTGTTTATATGAGCCCAAAGCTAACCAGGCAGTCTTGTAAAGGCTAGTCCTGGCCATATCTCTCCTCAAAGATACCAAAGGAATGAGTGGCCTTTCTGAACAGAGAAACCCCTTCCAAATTTCCGAATGCATTTCTAAGTTAAAAAAAAAAAAAAAAAAAAACAGATACACAAAAAAAGTATACAATATGCTACTATTCATACCTGGCTGTCACAGTAGGGACATTGTCAGCAGGGACAGAGGCAGGAAGGGACAGCAGTGCCCCAGGGAGTGGCCACAGGATAGTGTATATTGCTTGTCACAACTCCAGTAGAGTTCATGTGTCACCTCACAGGGAAGTGTGTCTTTATCTGAATCCTTATCCCCTCCCTACTCAGGAGCCAGTGACAACAGTCTGCCTGATTCCCCCTCCCCAGTTTAACTCAAAATATGACAACTGTTGTGCAGAGGGCACACTAGAAATCCCACACCCATAACATAATAGCGAGTTATATTTATGACTCGATGACAAGACCACACAAATGTTGACAAAGAAACACTGAATTATAGCCTCCCACATCCAGCAGTACTCTGGAGTCAGAACAGCACATAACCAAGCCCTTTAAGAAAAGGAAACAAATGGCCTCTCAGTAAACATGGGAAGCATGCTAGAAAGTCAGATAAGTCCCCAATGGGACTCCTTGACTGCAACCCCTTGGAAGGGCAGAGAAGATAAGCCAGTTAGCAGGGCCCTGGCCTCAAGCAGAGATGGAGGGTGCGTGGGGACTGAAGAGCATGCCCTTGGGGGCTCTCTGGACACTCATGCCTCAGATTCATTCTGTATTGTGACTTGTGATTAGGTGGTAGCCTGTGCTGGCCTGGAGGACGATGACTGTCACCACCCTCTAGCAGCAGAACCACCCCTGCCCTGGGTGTGCTCTTGTGTGGACCTATGTGTGACTCTCAGGCACACGCATGGGATGCCCCTGGCCATGTGTTAATGTGTTTGGAAAACATTAAGGATCCCACCTCTGCCATGTTCTAAAGCAGCTACACCATTTGGCACCTCTCTGGGGCTATGTGAGAGCTCCTGTGCCCCCAAGGCCTCACCCTGCTCGTGGACTCCATATTTGAGGCAGGCAGTGTTCCCTGCCTCCATTCCCAGGGGACTCTGCAGGGAACTCTGGGGTTTTCTCATAGAGCAGTGGCCAGATCCAGAAGTATGGAGCTTCCTATGACCATCCTACATGTGAAAATTACATCCTGGCCCACCCTTCTTGATACCTGGCCATGATGGGTGTGCTCTCCCTAGAGACCATGGGGTGCATTTTGGATGCCTGCCCTCTTGTGCTTTCCCACCAGAACTCATTCATGTTCAGATTCTGTGCTGAACAAGCATGTGCAAAGCTCTTACCACGAAACCTTCTGACCCTGACCTTCTTATGAAGGTGAACATGTGTTTCCCTTAAACTTTCCCAAGGGGACAAGTGACGACAAGGTCCTGGTCCATCATGAATTTGCCACTGGCCTATGAGTTGCAGGCAGGGGAGGCTGAGTTCTGAGTTCTGGTGGCTTTCCTCATTCTTGTGAAGATGCTGGGGTCAGCTGCTGAGTATATTCCAAGCTCCTGGTCACTGTACCTCTTAGTGCCTTTTAGCATCCTACAGCCTCATGGACAGCAATAGATCTCATAGGAGCTCTTCCATAGGTCTGGGGTGGGCAAGACTTACTATGGACCACATCTTACACCAGAGAAAGTTATAAGCAGAAAAGTCACCATGTCCACCTTATCATCACTTCCCAACTGTTAATTCCACAGCCCTGTGGCGTTCTCCCTCCCTGTCATTGAGGACATTGATTCCATCCTTCCACACAAGTGAGCTAGTGGTCATGTGATGTGTGATGGTGCATAGCACCCATCAGAGTGGCTTGGTGGCTGTGCACTGAGGCAGAGGGGTTCACTTAGGTCTGAGGGGCCCTGTTTCTTCTGTTTGTTATCACCCATCTCCCAAATCACAGCTGTGATTTGGAAAAGCTTACAAATATGGAAACTTCTAGAAGAAAGTTCCCCTTTAGATGAAAATGGAAGTGGGTCTAAGACCATGCTCCCAGAGCTTGTGGGGACTAGGGGTGGGCACTGGGCAAGCATCTTGTAGTGCTGACCCCACCCTCCCACAGAGCTGGTCATGCTCCTGGAGTGGTGGTCCTGCACGGAGTGCACTCTCTTCACCGACCAGGCCACCGTGGACCACTTTGGGAAGGAGCACGCAGTTGTCATCCTTAACCACAACTTCGAGATCGACTTCCTTTGTGGGTGGACCATGTGTGAGCGGTTTGGCGTGCTGGGGGTGAGCGATGGGATCAGGGAGGGGTTGGGTGAGTGACGCAGTCTGGGCGTGACTCACAGGGAGTTCAGGGAGGGTCTGGGTGAGTGATGGTGGAATGGGGCTCCAAGACAAGAACTCTGGGATCTGAAGTCCCCAAGGCTTTAGAGGCTTGACCCTTGGGGGTTTCTTGGCTTTCCCCCTTCAGGGTGAGCAGTCTGGCACTCACTCAGGTGAATTTAAACTACACTAAAGGGACCAGGGATCTCAGTGTAGCCAAAGCCCCTAAGCCATGTCAGGAAATGGAGGACAAAAAAAGGACCTGGAACTGAGGTGCTATCTACCATGTCCTGCTACACCTGCCCTCCCCACAAGATTTGTCTCATGAACAGTTTCTGGGGCTGCCCCCCCCCACAACGTGAGCTTAAGGGATGCTGATCCAAGGATCATACACCCATAAGTCAGGGTCTCATTAATAACAAATGCTTTGAGCCAGGAACAGCCAGGCCTGAGCCCCTGGAGTGGCTGTGGAGCTTCTGGCCAGGCCCTCCCCACCTCTGACAAGTGCCTCTGGCCTCCCTGCTCCCTGCAGAGCTCCAAGGTGCTGGCTAAGAGGGAGCTGCTGTGCGTGCCTCTCATCGGCTGGACGTGGTACTTCCTAGAGATCGTATTCTGCAAAAGGAAGTGGGAAGAAGACCGGGACATTGTCAAAGAAGGACTGAAGCGCTTGGCAGACTACCCAGAATACATGTGGGTGAGTTTGCTGCTTGTGCCCTGAGATGGCATTGGCTTGTGGACAGCTCAGTCTTCCTGTGTGCCATGTCCCAAGTTATACGTTGTAAAGTCTCTGGCTGGGAAAATGGCTCATGTGGTAAAATACTTGCCACAAAAGTGTGAGAAACTGAGTTTGAGCCCCAGAACCCAAATAGAAAAGCCAGGCTGTGGTGAACATACTATTAATCCCAGCACTGGGGAGGTGAAGATGAGTGGATCTCTGAGCCTCACTGACCAGCTCCAGGCCATTGAGACACCTTGTCTCAAAAACCAAGGTGGACGGTGCCTGAGGAGCCACACCCAAGGTTGACTTCTAGCCTGCACACACACACACACACACACACACACACACACCTGTGCATACACATGTCTATGAGACCATCCCATCTAATCTTTCATGCCTGCCCTCGTCCCTCCACTGCCCCCCTCTGTGGCAAGCCCAGCTTTGGCATACCCCCTCCTAGGGTTCAGGGAGGTGGGAGAGCCATCCCTGCATCGCATGGCATACCTCACCTTTCTTGTCTACTCTTGGAAGCCTGGCTTCTTAGTTCACATTTCTCATACCCTACTTGGGGACAACAGAGACACCTTCAGGTTTTTCTTCTTCTGGAGAGTTCTTTCAGGAAACTGTTCTGGAGTGCAGATTGCAGCCCTAAAATAAAATACCATTTCAATGACACCACATGGCACATAGTTGTCGCTGGATGATGCTGCGCTTGTATTTTTCTATGCTTCCAGCAGCTCATGTATGCTGCTGTGGCATGTGAGGCCTAGAATGTTATGGGCCTTGAGTGGCAGGGTCTGGTTCCATCCCTGCTGTCCTGGAATAACCCTCTTACCTCTCCCTACCCTATGCTCCTTCTGCACCTAGTTTCTCTTGTACTGCGAAGGAACACGCTTTACAGAGACCAAGCACCGCATCAGCATGGAGGTGGCTGCTTCCAAGGGGCTGCCCCCCCTCAAGTACCACCTGCTACCCCGGACCAAGGGTTTTACCACTGCAGTCCAGTGCCTCCGGGGGACAGGTAGGAGACTGTGACCCATTGTGAAAAGCTTCTTGGCTACTGTATGCAGCAGGCAGTTAATGGGACTGGGGGTATTGCTCAGTTGGTACAGGGCTTGCCTAGAATACATGAGGCCCTGTGTTCTAGCACCTCATAAGCCAGCCATTGTGGCACAAGCCTGTAGTTACAGTGCTCAGGAGATGAAATCAGGGTCAGGAGATCATTTTCGACTGTATAAATTCAAGGTCATTCTCAGCAAGATAGTTTGAGGTCCACCTGGGCTACATGAGTCTTTGTCTTAAAAAGCAAAGCATATATATATATATATATATATATATATATATATATATATATATATATGTAGATATAGATAGAGAGATAGATATAGATATATAGATATTCAGATCCTCACATCTCTTCGAGGATAAAATGCTGCTTAGTGGGAAACTGTCAAAAAAAACAGAATGTAAATAATATAAAGCATTATAAAGGAGAATGTCAGCAGAGATGTCTGGTTTCCCTGGAAGGAGTTACATAAGCCACAGAAAGGGCCCAAGAGCACTGGGCACACAAGAACAGCAGCAGAGAGGGTCTGAGCCAGCTGGGAGTGGGGTGAAGATCTTCGCCTGTGCGCTTCATGGGGAAGGGCAGACCCAAGTATAAGAGCGGCTTTTCTGCTTGGTGGTGATGTCACTGCTGGGGTGTCTCCCACCATCCATCGTTCACTTGTCCTATCTCCTCCCTACAGTTGCAGCTATCTACGATGTGACCCTGAACTTCAGAGGGAGTAAGAACCCATCCCTGCTGGGGATCCTCTATGGAAAGAAATATGAGGCAGACATGTGTGTGAGGTGAGCGCCTTCACAGGGCTGTCAGGGTTTGATGTGGTTCTGTGCAGGGCTCCTGAGGACACGGGTCAGAGGAAGGCAATGCTAGTATCTCTAGCTGTTTCCCTGGCCAGTGTGAGGATTGTTTCTTGTCTGTCTCTCAGTCTCAGTGGACACCTGTGCATGTCTCTCTGAGGAAAGCTCTGTCCCAAATTCTGCCAGTGTCAGTTGCCCTCGCCTGGGCAGCAGTCACACAATCTGGTGAACTAATGCTAACCTCTGATCTCTCGATTTGAGCTGGGAATATGGGACCTGCTACACAGCCCCCAGTAGACTGGCACTGTCACCAAGTGGCTCTGATCTGGCTTAGTAACTTCTAGATAGTGACCTGGGAAGTTCTGATTGGGGAAGGCCTTACCTGCTCTTCAGAGCCCAAGTGATGGTGCCTGCAGGGCCATCTTCTGTGGCACAGCCACTGTCAGGACCCACTGGCACTGCCTGAGGCGTGCTGACTTAGGCGCAGTGGGTGGAGTCACGTCTCAGTGTTGGCTGGGGCCAAAGCCCCATCTATGTCTCCTGAGGAAACAATGCACCCAAAATGGCTTCCATTTGACACCTCTGCTTGGTTCTTCTGAGTGGACTTGAGCTCATGCTGGTTTACAAATAACACTGTGAGGGGGCTTCCAGAAATAAGGTTGTGAACATAAACAGTAAGCTTGTTGGCTTTTTCCTCCTGGACTTTGTAACAGATGGATAACTGAGGTTCAGGACCTTGTATCCTGTCCTGGGAGCTTGCCTGGGTTGAGGTCAGCAAGTGAGACTAAGGTCCTTTCCTTCATGTGCTCATCTTCCATCATGGGGCCACCCAAGGGACTGTGGTGACTAACCCTGAGCCTTAGGTGGCTTCCATGGCCACATGTGTTAGTTATCTTGCTGTCACCATAACAAACACCTGAGACAACTTACAAAGAAGAAACTTGGTTTTGGCTCAGGGTTTTGACAGTCCCAATCCATGGCTGAGTCTCTGTTGCTTTGGTCCAATGTGGGGTCTGCATGTCATGGCAAGAACACAACATGTGGCTGGGTATAGCAACCACCTTATCACCAGTTGGTAAAGGAGGAAGGGGCTGGGGTGTTGACCCTTCCAGAGATGGAGGTCCATGATCAAGAACCTTGCACTATGCTGGCCCCTCCAGAGTCAGCCATGACCTCCCATTATGTTGACCTCTCCAGGGATGGATGGCCATGTCCTAGGACCTCCCACTATGTTGACTTGTCCTGAGATGCCCATGACCAAGGACCTCCTACTGGGCCCCACATTTTTAAAGTAGGGCCTCTTCAGAGAACAAGCTGCTAATACATGATCTTTGAGAGACAATAGAGAACAAAACCATAGCACAAAGGGAGATGACAGTAACTGAGAATCCGGCCATGTCCAGGAGTGAGCCCCTCAGAGGTCATCATGCTTCTGTCCCTAGCTTAACTGCCCCAGGTCAGAGCCAGCCTATGCCAGGGTGGCCAGGTCTCACTCATCCAGCCCTTCTGGCTGCTCAGTCACCCATCAAGCTGAAATTCCCCCACATGGACACCAGGCTGTGACTAGGGAGACTTCCTCCATCTGTTCTTTGTTCTGTGATATTCTGGTTCTGTAGATCTGTCCAGCTGTATTCCAGTGGGCATCTTAGAGCTCATAAAGGTCTTGGCTGATCTGTGCTCTTGACTGTGGACTGTGCACAAATAAGCCCTTCCCACCACCCAGCCTGCCCCTGCAATCACAGCTAAGGGCCTTCCCTCATGCCTCCCTCAAAGGTGACAACTCTCTAGGAGCTATGACAGAGCAAGCCTGCATGTGCATAGGCTCAGGGGATCTCTGTTCCCTGCTGGCATGCTGGTGTTAGCCTTGGGATGGTGGAGTTACTCCAGGGAAGTTCAGGGTAACTAGAGCTCAAGCTCTAGCTGCCAAGAGCGGGGAGTCAGCAGGACCCCACTTACACGTATCTCAGCATCTTTTATTTTCTTTACTTCTTCTATAATGCATGTGGTAGTGTGTGTGTATGTGTGGCATTACACACACACATGTACACACACCAGAGAGAGCCATGAAATAGGTCTGAGCCTTTTAGTCCTCTTGTTGCAGGAGGTGCCCCCCAGCTACACCCTGACTGTGTCAAATCCTCCCCTACACAGTCCCCAGCACTTGGGGAGGCATAGGCTAACATATTTTGTCCACTCAGATGCTGCTGCCCCTCATGCTGATGTGGCTATGAACCTGCAGTGTTGCTCTGTGTAGCCCTGTGTGTGTGGCCCTGTGCTCCACCCAGCGCTGGGTACGTGTGCTGAGGTGGAAAGGTCCCTAGGCACAGCCCACACAGCCACAGCCACCCAGGGCCTCAGTTTGAGTGCACAGATCTGTCGCAGGCTGTGGACAGTTCCTGTGGGTTTTTTTCTGGAAGAAAGAACAGTGGGACCACTATGGGGGCCTCCCAAACCAGAGCCATATTCACCATAGCAGTTCCCCATTACTTATTGTTCTGAAAACGTTAAAACAGATGAAACTATGTGATCTCATCCACCCCCTGGATGCAAAGCATCTGTCTCGTGTACCCATTTTGTGTCTACCCCAATAGTCATTCAGCAGTCACAAACACAGTGTTTACACGTCCCCATGTGGCTTTATAATGGCTTCAAAGCACAAGAGTGGTAAAACAGAGGAAGCCCTAGGGTGTGAAACATTTGGCACACCGGAAAGCACAGGTGCAGAGAGTGCAGAATGCCTAGGGTTTCTGATGATACCTGGGGGTTGGGGGGGGGGGGGAGAATGACGACCTGGGATGTGTTCACTGACCACCCTAGTCCTTATGTGCCTGTGTGAACACCAGTACTCGGTGCCATCTCCTGGGCATTGTGAGGTACTGCAGTTCCCTGTGGAAAGTAGGACCTCCCTGTTGGTGCCCATCAAACCCACTATGTTGCTGAGGCTGGCCTGGGGCACCTGATTCTCTTGCTCCACACCCCAAGTTCTGGTATTACAGGAATATGCCACTGGGTCTAATTTTCTTGCTCCCTCTTTCCTTCCTCCCTCCCTCCCTCATTCCCAATAGTAGTTATTATGTTTTGGAATGGGGGGGGGGTCTCACTATGTAGCCTTGGCTGGCCTGGAACTTGATATGTAGACCAGGCTGGCCATGAACCTGTCTCTGTCTCCCAAGTGCTGGGATTAAAGGTGTGGGCCACCATGCTCAGCTCTGGGTCTTGCCTTTTGTTTTTTGAGATAGGGTTTCTCTGAGTATCCCTGGCAGTCCTGGAATTAGCTCTGTAGACCAGGATGGCCTCAAATTCAGAGATCTACCTGCCTCTGCTCTGGAGTGCTGGGATTAAAGGTGTGTGCCACCACAGCCCGGCTTGGGTTTAGCTTTTTAAAGAAGCTTATGGCACAAACACTTATTCTCAAGTGACAGAGTCCTAGCCAGCTGTCCCCACAAGTGGACTCAGCATCACTCTCTGAGCATGTGATTTCAAGTCAAGCACAGCAGTTGAGATGCATCTCCTGGGGTCAGAGAAGCTCCTCCCATCAGATGTGCTTTCCACACATGGCAGAGCTCTGTGTACCAGACAAGCCCTGTGAACCACAGGGGCATGGGCATATCATGTCTCTCTCTCTAGGGTCCTCACTGTAAAAGGGATGGAGATATCTTCTGTGTGCAGTTCCCACCTTCTGTTTATTCACAAACTGATTTATTTTCACAGCAAGGCCTGAGCCACAGGACTGCAAAAGGGCCCACCTGTAGTTGCTAGGCAACCACCTGTTTGTTTACCAACAGGCTCCCAGGGTAGGGGTTCGGACAGTTTAGGGTCCTCATGGAAACATTTATTGTTAGCTGAGATTAAAATTAAAATCTCTCAATGTTGACTACTTTTCCTACCTGGGATATGTAGTTTTGTCTTGAAGCAGTGATCTGCTGTGTCTAGGAAAAAATTACTGACACAGACACCGCCCTTACCTCAAAAGGAGCAAGAGAGTCAGGCGTGAGTGGCCATGGCCTCAGATCACACATTGAAGTCTCCCCAAATGCTATTTTCCACTGAGGAAGTAGTTATATGAGATTCTTACTTATTGCAAAACAAAGAAAGTTCAGAAGTATTTATCAAATGAGTTGGTAGGAGCCACAGATCGGGCCACTGATGGGGTCAGTGGGAGCTAGTTATCTGCTTAGAATATATTGTAAGCTTTTGATAGTCACCAGGACATTAGTTCAGACATGGAGGGCAAGGCAGTGGATGGCTTTCTTAGAGACTAAAAATAATTTAGGATAATTTGACTGTATCTACAGCATTTGAATCTCCATAGTCTTGAAGCTTGGTTATGTGGCCTTGTAGAGTCTTTCAGCCAGGCGTATTGTCTGTTCCTGTCTATCTCTGTCTCTCCCTTCACCCACTTGTCTCTCTCCCTCCCTACCTCCCCATCCAGTCCTTCCACACCCCCTCCCTCTCCCCTTTTTGGGTACTTCAGCTCACCTTGTGGTGGTCACTTCTGCATAAACAGCCTAGGGTTTGTTTAGCTCCTAGTGTTGAAGTTCAGTCCATTATCACGTGGCTCCATTGTTGTGGCGCTGAGGTGAGATTCAGATATCAAGGGTGGGGAGCATTTAGGCAGAACCAAGCAGCTTACATCTTGGTGGCCAGGAAGCAGAGAGAATGACAGGAAGGGGGCAATATACATTCTTCAGAGGCATGCCCCAGCCAGGCCCACCTTCCACAGTTACAGGGCCTCCCAACAGTATATTCAAAATGAAGTCCATCCATTGAGTCGACACATGGTCAGGTCAGAGCCCTCTCTGGAAACACCCTCACAGACACTCAGAGGTGTGCCTTGTCTCCTAGTCTCTCTCCATCCAGTGAAGACGATAGTCAAGATCAAAGGCTGCACATGTGTCTTGATTATCTCCAGCAGTGATGTTGGGAAAGACCAAAGCCACCAAGACCACCCTGTGGGGAGGTCAGGGCATGCTGTCCCAGGCAGGTGGCTCACAAGTGTCCCCAGCTATAGAGGCATCTTTTAGCCCTCACGTGGGGGTGGGGGCCAGAAGGTTCCAGGGTGTCGGATGACTGTCAGGAACTTAGTTTGCTGCCTGCTTATTTCAGTTGCTGCCCCCTCCCACAACTACAAGCAGATCTTTTTCATTCTCTCACTTTACTCTTGATCTTCTTGATGTAACAGGAGGTTTCCACTGGCAGACATCCCAGCAGACGAGAATGACGCAGCCCAGTGGCTTCACAAGCTGTACCAGGAGAAGGTAAAGGCTTCTGCTTGCCTGGGTCCCATCTCTGGAGCAGGCAGGGTGGTAAAGAGGGCAGGCAGGTGCCACATGGTTCCCCTTTGGACACCAAACCCTGGAGCTCCTCACCTCATTAGATTCTTCTCTTTTTCTTAAAATTTGAGAAATCAACACTCGGGTGAAGTATGAAGTTTGGCACAGTGCTAGGTGGGTTGCACCGTGCCCCACATGTGAAACTGTGTTGATGGCATTTTACCATATTTGTTCCTTTTTTACATAAAAGAATTTTATGGATATAGCAGACATTGCCAAGACTTACAGCAGCATGTTTATGTCGTGGGGCCTCACAGCAGATACCTGGGGTGCTTCTGGGACCACACATGCCCAGTTCCCACTCCACAGTGCATGCTCACCCTATGCCCAATTCCAGGGACAATAAGTGTCCACTTCAGCATTGTTGGAAATCAGATGATCAGAAAAACCTGCAGTAAACAGTTCTTTCCAGCGCTATAAGCAGCTCCTGAGGAAGTAAGGGAACTCCAAAGACCAAGGAAGGAAGAGAGCTAGACCTGAGTGAGGGTAAGGGGCCTCTGCTGATGCTAGGTAACCTGCTAGTGTTTTCATGTTCCCCCAAAGTCCTGAGTTGTAAACCTCCATGGGATGAGATGGTGAGATGCGAAGGACAGTAAGGTGGTAGCATGTGCCCCACACGAGGCCCAACCTTCTAGGAAGTCAGTCTAGGGAAGATTGACCTTGTCCCCACCTGCCTCTCCTCTGCATTGAAGACGGTGTTGCCCTGGTGATTATGCTGGCCAACCTCACAGTTCCAGAAGTTGGAGACACTAGGATAGAAAGTGGTACACAGAGAAGTCCCTTCTTCTCTGTGCTGTGGAGGGAGACCCATACACCCCTGGAGGAGGCGACCCCAGAGGCAGACTGCTCAGAGTTTGCACACTTGGGACTCAGCTGAAGGCCAGCTGCAAGCTACCAGAAGACAAAATGCCCAAGGAAACAAACCCTTGCCAATGCCAGACAGAACAAAGTGCTCAGAGGAATTTGACAAACCCTTGCCAATGCCAGACAGAACAAAGTGCTCAGAGGAATTTGAGAAGTAGCAGATACAGACTAAAATGAGCATGTAAAGATGAAAATGGAAACCGAGACGACCTGCAAAAAAAAAAAAGGCCGTAGGGCAAGTGGAGAACAAAAGCAGCCTGCTGGCAGCGCAGTGCTGTGGGCCATGTGCTATGTGTACAGTGCTTACTGTGTATCAGGTCCCTACTTTCCTCCAGAGTATTAATAAAGGGGCCGCAGAGATGGCTCTGTGGTTTCTTAACCAGCTTGGTGGCTGCTCTTCCAGAGGACCCAGGCTCAATCCTCAGCATCTACATGGCAGCTCAAAACTGTCTGTAACTCCAATTCCAGGGGATCCTATACCCTAACAGACATACATACAGGCAAAGTACCAATGCACATTAAATAAATAGTAAAGAAGAAGCCAGGTGTAGTAGAACACACCTTTATCCCAGCACTCAAGAGACAGAGGTTTGAGGTTCAAGACCAGCGTTCCAGGACCGCCAAGGTTGGACAAGGTGAGGCCCTATTTCAAAAGAAAAGAAAAAAAGAATATTAATAAAACAGAAAACTCTGGTCAAGGCTTTTTAAACAAAGTGGTGGAATTAGTACTAACAAGAATAAAACAAGACACAACAACAAACAGGGAATCAAAACCATATGAGCTTGGTATGGCTGGCTTCATGCCCACTTGTTTGGAAACCTGGATAAAGTCTGTCACCTCCTTTATGACAGTTGCCCAACACAGTAGGTATAGAAGCCTCTTAGCTCACACAGCTCGGACCATGAACCACAGATACACACACACATTATCCTCCTGGGGTCCAGAATGTCTGTCTGTCTGTCGTCCTTATTCCACATAGCACTAGACATCTCAGCAGAGCTATTAGACAAGAGAAGGAGCTGAAGGAAGTTCATATTGGAAAGGAGAATAGTCAAACTACCCTGTTTGCAAATGGCTTGGCCTTATATTTAGAAAAGTCAAAACTGTCAAAAATGTTAGACCTGGAAAATTCCCTAAAGTTTCAGATTACAAAACCAGTGTCCAGAAGCCATCTCCACATACCTAGAATGAACTCACTGAAAGAGAAATCCAAGCAAAAATGAAGAAATTCTAGGAGCTAAGCCACCACTGGACCCTGAAGTCCTCCTGGGAGGGGGTTTGTCAGGAGAAAACTCAATTCAAAGGCAAAGGCACCAGCAGCCAGTGTTAGTGCAGTGCTGTCCATGGTAGCCAAAATGACAGAATTAACCCCCCCCCATCTCCACACACCCCACCCCTCCAGTACACTGATGGGCGGATAAAGAAACTACAGTGAAGCTGGGTAATGGTGGCACACACCTTTAATCCTAGGGCTCAGGAGGCAGAAGTAACCAAATCTCAGTTCAAGGCCAGCCTGGTCTACAGAGCAAGTTCCAGGACAGCCAGGGCTACACAAAGAAACCCTGTCTTGAAAAACAACAACAAAACAAAACAAAAGAAGAAAAGGAAAAGAAACTATGATATGTATAAACACAGTGTAACATTGTTCAGCCACTATATAGCAAACTCTTGCCATTTGGAACACTATGGAATACCATAGAAGGAAAGCCAGTCAGGTACAGGAGGACATAGCACATGCTCTCACTTAAAGATGGAAGCCAATGTCACCATAGTATAGGGTAGAAGAGTCAATACCAGATAGGATGGGGTATCCCATAGCGGAGTGGTGTTAGGATTACTGACATGGCTGATGGCAACTATGTATTTCAAAATCTTCAGTGGAGAGGATTCTAGTCATTCTCAACACAAATAAATGGTGGATGTGAGGCAGTGACCAGCCGGTCTCTGCTCATTATACAGAGTGTGTGTGTAAGAGGGAGGGGGAGGGAGGGAAGAAGGGAGAGAGAACCTGTGATCCATAAGCATGTATGATTATGTCAGTTAAATTTTAGATAGGTGGTAGATAGACAAACACACACACACACACACACACCTCTCAAGAAGAAAGTGTAGCTGGTAGCAGCTCATGCCTGTAATTCCAGCATCCTAGCCCTTTAAGAGGATCAGAAGTTCAAGGCCAATATCAAGTATGTGGAGAGTTCCATGCTAACCTGGATTACAAGAGATCCTGTGTCAAAAAAAGGAAGAAAATGAAGAAAGAAGAGGAAGATGAGGACGAGGAGGAATGGTGTGGGGCCAGCAAGATGGTTCAGTGGGTAAAAGTGCTTGCCATACAAGCTGATGTTCCGAGTTTGGTCCCTGGATGCCATGATAGGAGAGATGAAAGGACTTGTGGTGGGTGTAGATTGTGGCCAGGCCCAGGACCCAAGCAGGTTCATGCTACTATCCCTTGCCTGGTCTTGATAACTGGTGGGGGCTGCACCAGCCATCTATATGCCAGTTATGACCATGGGCAGCTTTGGCTGGCTGTTTCCTAGTTAACTCCTGTGTTCAGATGACATGTGCTTTATACAAGTGACTGAAGGCCATCCAAGGACACAGTTCCTCCTCCCTGCCTGTGCCAGGACGTTGTCTGCTTTATTCTGTGGCCTGCATCTTAGCCAAGTGGCTTTCATTGCCGAGTTTTCTCCCACATCAGAGTCCCATTTGGCAATCTTGACTTCCTGTTCTCCCCTTCACTCCCAGGACGCCCTGCAAGAGATGTACAAGCAGAAGGGTGTATTCCCAGGGGAGCGGATCAAGCCTGCCCGAAGGCCGTGGACCCTCCTGAACTTCTTGTGCTGGGCCACCATCCTCCTCTCTCCCCTAATCAGCTTTGTCCTGGGCGTTTTCGCCAGCGGATCCCCGCTCCTCATCCTGACGTTCTTGGGGTTTGTGGGAGCAGGTAAAGAGCCCAGATGTGCCAGCTCACATGCTGGGGTCACTGGGCCACCACCGTACCCAGGACTGGTGGCTCATCATGGTGGTCCTGGGAGGCAGCAGCTCGGGTCAGGGAATTTAGTGGCTCTGGCTCCTGTGTGTGGGACTGTGGAGGTCTGTGACCTCCTCTTGTGCTACTGTGGCTTCCTGTACTAGAGTGGCCACACGCTGGGAGAAAGGGAATGGGGATCGGTGTGGCAAGGCCATCAAGGGTGCCTTGGTGAGGTTAGCTTCTAACCTTCTCTCTCTTGTCTTTAAAGCTTCCTTCGGAGTCCGAAGACTGATAGGAGTGACTGAAATAGAAAAAGGTTCCAGCTATGGCAACCAAGAGCTTAAGAAAAAGGAATAATTAATGCTGTGATTGAACACCCATAACCTGACGCGGTATCCAATTAACTCAATTAAAAACCGAACACACAGAGCGAGGGAAAGGGACACTTAGAGACTATTTTTCTTATTAACTGGTGACTAATATTAACAAAACTTGAGCCAAGAGCAAAGAACTCAGCTGCCAGGTGAAGATGGTCAGCCAGCACCCAGGGTCCCATCGGCCCTCTGCGGGGACAGAGGCGGGCTTGGGAAAAGTGATGGGGCCATGGGGCTCCCCCAGAACTCCGCCTCCAAGAGGCGGCCTTGGCTGCTCTCCCTTCTTAAACTTAGAATGAGGCTTTTGTTTCTTTATCTGTTATTTTGGGAACTTAACCTGGCCCCCACTTTGTGCCCTGCACCCCAGAACACTGGCTCTTCATGGGTGCCACTGTTCTCACAGGGGCAGGTCAGCTGGATCCTTGTCCTACAGAGCTCATTTGTCCTGCCCTGCTTGGCACCTCTGCTTCTAGCCTGGGGGGAGGAAGTCTTCTTAGAGATAAGCACACACTGAATGTAGATCTGGCCCCTTTGTCTCTCCCCTGCCCAGGGGCTGAAGACCACCCCTCCATCCTCTGCAGCCCTGTTGGCACTGCCTCTCCAGGGGCTGTTTCTAAGCACCTTATGTCTCTTTTTAAAGTGAACGCCCGAGAACTCTGCAGAATGTGGAATCCTTGAGTTCATACAGCACCTCCCATACAGCCCCATGATCCCCTCATCCTCTGTAGCCAGCAGGCTACAGTCCTGCATGGGGCCAGATGGGAAGACTACCTGGGCCCCACACCTCAGAGCCGTGGTGCCTGGGGGGGCTCCAGCCTATGGGACTCCCCTGGGACACTCTTCAGGAGGTGGTGTCACCATCAGGCCTCCTTGTTCTCAGACACCTTCAGTGCTTGTTAGCATTAGAATTTATTTTTGCAAATTGGTCTGTGGCTGGCTCGCAGCTTGTCCCTGTTCTTATCTTCTGCCTCTACCCAGACAAGTGTCATGGCTGCCCTCCACACCCATTGTTGCCCACTACCACCTCAGTGACATAAGTTGTCCTGGCAGAAAACAGGGGTCCTCCACCTGCACTTGGTGCCTTGCCAGGGTCCCTTGGGCTGGCCCTGGTGGCGCATTCCCCTTCTCACTCAGCGAAGGAAGGCCTGCCTGGTTTCTGGAAGACGTAGTTCCTCGGGAAACACCATCATATACGTTCACCTTCTGTGTCTGGAACCTTCCACAGGCCCTTTTAAAGTCATTTCATGTTTTCTAACAAGGAAAACCCGGGTATTCTTTCTGGCATGCTGCAGCCAGAATTAAAAGTAAAGACAGAGAAGATTTATAGGGCACACTGGAAGGACGAGGCCTGGAGAAACCTGAGAGCAGACCCGGGCCTGACTCTACACGGCCCTCAGTGCTGGGGACCTCGTGAGACAGCATGCCCACTTTACAGAAGGCGCTCCTGGCCTCTGCGGTCCATGCACAACAGAGTGATTGTCGACTGCTCCTATCGCTCTTGGGTGACAGCAACAATCACGGCTGCCTGTAAGGGTGAAGGGTTAAGTCAAGCAATCTGAGACACCGAATCTCTCCCCTCCAGCTGACGGCTTGCCTGCCCTGGCCTCTGCCAACTGTGAGCCATCTTGGGTATTCCTGAGGGCCAGCTCCCTCCCTGATGGGGTTTTCTTTCTGTGTGCTTGAGGTTTCTGTCCTTCCCTAACTCACTGTCACTTCACAAATCTGAAGGAAACAGGCCAATGGGCCCTGCCATGCATGCACCTGGCCCTGGATAAAGCAAGCTCAGAGCCTTTACCATTTCTCTAATGCCTCTGACTTCCTGAGAAGCCCTGAGCCTTTGAGATCAGCCCTGTGTTGAGTCTGTGAATGGCTGCAGGAGTTCAGGCTGCAGGCTTTGCCCTCCTAGGCCTCCCCCTGCTTATCATCCAATACAGCGCTTCTGAGAGCAATAAAAATTACACTAGGAATGTGGGTGTGGGTTTTTTGTTTTGTATTTTTTTGTTGTTGTTTTTGTTTTTTGTTTTTGGGTGGGGTCACATTTTGCTTTTCATCTGCTTCAGAAGGAAAGGGGGAGGAGAGTCCCTTGATTTTTCTATTAAATTAATAAATCTCTGAATAAGGCTTTTCTCTTTTCCTTCACACCCTACTACTGATAGGCATGGCTGATGTCATGCCCAGATTCAGACTGATGGCACTGCTGAAGCAACTTGCTAGTCTTCAGGGTGCCCATTCTGGAAGCAGTGGGCTCAGGAGCCAGAGGTATTTTGGAACTGGAGTTCCAGAACAAAAGATGGTGGCTTTGGGAGAAGGACTGACCTACTAGACTGGCTCTTCTCCAGGGTCTCAGCAGAGGGGCCCCACAAGGTCAGCTTAGACTGGGACGTGGTCTCCTTACCACTCCTTACCACTCAGGCTCAAAGAGCCAGATACATGAGGGCTTCTGCCATCTCCCTGAGAAACCCTTCCACTGTCCAGGTTGTCTCCCACCCCTGGTCTCATGTAGGCCTCTCTGAAGCTTTGCTGAGCTACAGTCATGGCTGCCATTCCCCTGACTGCTGGCAGCATGTCACGGTACCCACACAGAGCATCTAGGGACTATGCTGCTCTCTCTGAGGGCTTTGTGTTAGCATCCTGATTGGTGACCATCCTGCAAGAAGCAGGGGCAACAAGCGTGGAAGGCTGAATGGGCAGCATGTGGGCAGTTCAGAGATCAGATCTCCTCTTGACAAGACCTTTAACCCAGAGAAAGAAGCCGCTTGTTATTTATAGATGTTTGGTAACTGCATCCATGAGTCACATTTGAGATGCTGTAAGGCCCTGTCCTCAAGAAACAGTCTAATGAACTCTGAACACACAGTCTTCTAGATAACATACTGCAACAATGTAACAACACTTTCTTGTAGAAACAATGCAGGTGTCTTCATAGATAACTGGATTCCCCTCCCTCCTCTTTCCTGCACCTTGCCCTGAGAATCTTTCCTGCCTCTGATCTAGTCCCGCAATTATGCCATTGGGAAAAGTCAATGTTAGACCCAGCAATGAGTTACATTGATATGTAATTCAAGAGATGTCAGGAGACCACCCACCATGACTACTAATTTGTGTCAGGTTCAGGATGAAGAGTTAAGTGATTCTTCCTGCATGTTGCCCTGTCTCTGCCTTGAGACCTTATAGGACAAGCCAAAAGTAGCCTTTCCAGCCCTGACGACTTGCATCTCAGTTGTTTGTCCCACACATAGACCCCCACCACTAGCTAGATGCATGTGACACTTAGTGCTAGCCCTTTGGTGTGGCTTCTAGCCCTCTGCAGTATCATGAAGCTCAGGGTTAGAATGGCATACCTGAGATGCCTGTTGCCTTCTTTCTAGAAGCATCTCTGGCCCATGGGCCAGCCCCAAACCAAAGGCACCTGGGCCTGGGTGAGGGCATCCCTGACCTGCCTTAGGCCTTGTCCCAGAGTCTTGCTATGGGGCTGTCAGTTAGGTACTGACACTCAGGCCCCAGATCCCTGCATACAGGGCCAGGATTTGAAAATACTAGTTCAGGCTTTGGGTGATCTGCTTGGCTGACAGGATGGACACATAAATCAAAGTTTATTAGAGGCGTTTGAAATCAGTTAATTCAGGGGAATGGTGGTGGTATTGCAAACCATTCCAGAAATAAACCAACGAGGGCACTTTGAGGAGCCACTGGAGATAGTGGCATCGTCTCTTCACAGACCTGGGAAACTGTGAACTTTGTCCTGACAGGTCACCTGGACTTTTCTTTCCTCTCTAGCTTTTTGGTTTCTTTCTGTTGCGAAAGTGTTTGGAGAGAAGTGGAACTGTGAATGAGACCCTGAAATGCACTAAATTGTATTCTATTAAACTGGAGTTACTTGATTCAATGAAGAGCTGCATTGCTCTATTTGTATTTTTTTTTTTATTTTATTTTTGTCTCAGAGTAGTAATGTTGTGACAATCATGACTTGCCTCAAGGCCTGTACCTCCTGGCATCTGTACCGGCGAGTCCTATAACTACAGGAACGGCTCTTTCTGGAAGCCACATAAACCATGGACTCTAATGATGGAATGCTGTATGGGTGGGCAGACATCTGAGCTTCTTTTCCTTTTCCTGAGAAATCGCCATATCTGACTGTGGGCAGTCTCAAGGGGATGCTGTGTCTACAGGGTACAACTGTGTTATATGGATGTTTCCTTTTGTATACTTCTTTTTACAAGTTTGCTATTCACAGGCTTTCTGTGGTAAAGATGGAGGTCTGTGGTCTAGGAAGACTTCCAGGTCTGAAAGCTGACTTAAGCTTTGCAGGCCTGGATCTACAGCCTGGCTGTGTTGACTGCTATGCATAGTTCTCTGTCCACAGCATGTGGAAGGACTCCCAGGCAGTGTGGCACTCCTGCTTGGTGGTACTTTCCAGGCAAAATGCATAGGTATCATACTTGTTTATTACAAACACTGTTGTGAACGAGGGATAAAATGTCCACAATATATGAGAAAGTGACTCTCTGCCTCTTTTTCTTTCTTTCTGGCTTGCATAGACTTTCAAGAGAGGACAACTTCAGGTGCTTCCTGTCCCTTGAGGCTACCCTCCTCCAACCCCTTGTGCTCTGCCTTTTCTCCAAGGTCTTTTAGCTGGCAGTGCTATCTGCCCCAGGGCCCCAAGGCCCCAGGGTCTCTACTCCGGACAGCAGAGAGAGGGAATTCAGTGAGCCTGTGAAATGCTGAGGGACCCAAGGACCTACATTGGGTTATAAAAGCCATTGAGGAGGCTGGAGAGATGGCTCAGCAGTTAAGAGCACTTGCTACTCCCATGTGGCAGCCCACAACCATCTTAACTTCCAGGGAATCCAGTGCCCTCTTCTGGCCTCCTTGGGGACCAAGAATACATGCATGTAACATGCATGTTACAGAGACATGCATGCAGACAAAACATTTGTACATATAAAAATAAATCTTTTTTGAAAGTTAAAAGCTGCCAAGGACAGATGTCCTATGTCCTGAGCTACTTTGCTAAAAACCACCTTCATTCTGTGGCGGTAACTAAAATCCACTTCTACTTTAAAAGGGAA